GGGCGGTCCCGGCGCCCTCTGGGGCTGGCTGCCGCCAGGGAGCTGCAGTCCACGGTCCGCGCCCGCGCCGCCAGCATGACTGACGCGCTGCTGCCCGCAACCCCGCAGCCGCTGGAGAAGGAGGGCGACGGCTACTTTCGGAAGGTGGGTGACTTCGGGCGGGCCAGCGAGTCTGCAGGCTCCAGAGCTCTTTTCCCCAGGGAGAGGGAGGGGGCTGCGGGAGCGCACGGCGGGTGGGCTAGGCCCGGAGCGCGGAGGGGGACTCACTGGCCTGGTGCCTGCGGGGCGGAAGGTCGGGGTCGCGGGGTAGGGGGAGCCGCGGCGTGCGGGGCCGCCCCGAACAGGTGCGGGCGGAGGATCGCGGCCGCAGGTAGGTTGGGGGCGCACGGGACGGCCCCGCCTAGGTGCGGTCGGGGGCTGGCGGGAGCACGGGGCCGCCCCGCGCAGGTGCTGGCGAAGGAGCGTGGGTCCCGGAGGGCGGTGCACGGGGTCGCCCCGCGCGGCGGGGGGAGGGACCGGTCGCTCGCCGAGCTCGCGCCCTCGGCCTCGCGGAGCGTCGGGACCCGAGTCCAACTTCCACCAGAGCGCTTGGCGGGGGCGCGGGTGGAGAAAGAGGGACCACCCCAGGCGGATCGGCGTTCTCATTTTCCCTCCAAAATACCTCCAGTGTCCTCCTGTCCACTTTTTCGGGAGTGAGGGAGGAAGAGCTGCTGGTGGGAGGGGACCTCGGGCGCCCCCCACCCCTGCCCTCAGTGGCCCAGGAGGGCTTGAGCACTGCGGACGTGAGGGCCGTGGTCTTGCCCCTTTTCACTTTACGCTAAAGCGGATTTAACTGGTTGCCGGAGAGACCGAGCGGGCGGGGAGTGTGGGCTCTGCGGGCGCTTGGCACGTCGGTGTCCTTTGGTACACATTGCTGCCTCCCGCTCAGGAGATGACACTCGAGCAACCCAGTCCCTTAAAAGTGACCCTACAATATGTGTACTTACTGTTTAATGAGAAACTATTTGTTCTGTAAATCTTCATCTAAGATACAAAAAAAAGAGAATTATCTATGTAAGATCAAATTGACAACAGCAATTCCAAAGGTTTGATGCGAAGTCCAGGGGGCAGTTGAAGATAACAGTGATGGAATAATTTGGAAAAGGACAGTGAGAATAGCAGCACAACTGGAAGAGTGTAATCGATGTCACTGAATTGTACGTGTAGAAATATTTGAAATAGTGTGATTTTGGCTATGTATATTTTCACCAAAAAAAAAAAAAGATCCTCCAAGGTCGAGAAGGGAGAGTGTTGACGTGTTGTGGGGTTAACCAATGTCATAAAACAATATGTGTACTGACTGTTTAATGAGAAACTATTTGTCCCGTAAACCTTCATCTAAAGTACAATAAAAAAAATTAAAAAAAAAAAAGTGACCCTAGCCCGCGAGCTGGGGGTGCTGGAATGCCAACAGGCAGCAGGGCCTGGCTACAAAGATGCTTTCACAAGCGAGGAGTCAGGGTAACACCTTCCACACCTTCCTTCTTGCAGGTCTCAAGCGAGTCTAAAAATATCTTTTGGAGCTTGGCCAAGAATAGCTGGGTAGATTGAGAGATTGTTTTTTTTTAATAGCAGAGATGAGCCAAGGCAGAGTGTGTAATTATGAATAGGGAAGTGAAACTGTTTCCCACAGGACAATCAATTCTTAATTGTTCAGAGCCTTATGACCCAGTTGGTAATTGGTCTTGGCATCTTCCTCCTCCCCTGTGACTTGCCTTCAGGCTTGTGCCCACTGCTCAGGAGCCTTGGCCACGGGGGGTGGGCAGGGGTAGTGGGCAGGAGGGGAATCCAGAAACAGGCGGGAACAGAGTGGGAAAAATTGTTTTTGTCAAATTGCATTTAGTATTAAAAAAAAAGAAAGTGATTTTAGGGTATATTTAAGTTCAAAGATGTCATCATGGAATTACAGGATTATAACTTCTAATTATGTGTGGCATTTGGGACAGAGGATCACAGGCCATGGAATTGGAGATGGAGGCCTGGCCTGGGAATTCCTGGATCTGGGTTCTAGGGCCCCAGGGCCCAGACCGCCACTCCCACAAAATTGCTGTGTGGCCTCCAGCAGGTTGCTGCCTCTTTCTGGGGACTTCATTTCCTCCTCTGAACAGGAGGAGCTCTGGACCTGTGGCTGCACCCAGGGAGAAATGTGCAGTGGGAGGGGGCAGAAGGGATGGAGAAGAACTGTGAAGGGGATGGCTTTCCTGTGGGAATGCTCCACAAGTGTGACGTCCAAGGGAGCACGGGAAAGATGACAAGTGAGCTGTGAAAGGATGCCAGTTTGAGGGTTTTTTAGATTCAATTTTTCTGGTGATGAATGAGAGAATCATGAGTGTAAAATAAGATGAATCACTGCTTTACCATTAGAAGCATCCATTTTGAAAACAAGACCTTGTAACGATCACTGAACTATGTCTGTGTTAAGGTCAGACCGGTCCAAAGAATTTTTTTTTTTGTATGAGTAAAGTAAAAAGTGGATGTTGAATCTTACCTAATCTGTGATCTGAGCCACTTTGACATAAAGCAAATTATGAGGGGGTAGATGTTATATGGAGTCTCTGGGTGGTGCAAAGGATTAACGCACGTGGCTGCTAACCAAAAGGTTAGACGTTTGAGTCTACCTAGAGACACCTCGGGAGAAAAGCCTGGTGATCTTTTTCTGAAAAATCAGCCATTGAAAACCCTATGGTGCATAGTTCTACTCTGACACGCATGGAGTTGCCATGAGTTGGAGTCAACTTGATGGCAACTGGGTAGATGTTATATAGGTAAAGAAGAGGAGGAAGAGTACTTCAGGCAGACGGAACAGCATGGACAAAGGCATGGAATTGTGAGCCTTGTGAGGGAGCCTTCCGGGTGTGGAGATGTAAATGGGAACTGGGCCGTTAGGGGTCACTCATCCTGCTCAGGAACTGGGGAATCATGGGGATCCGTCAGAGTATTTAGAGCAGGACCAGACATGTGAGATCATGTCACAGAAAGATCCCTTTGACAGCTGAATGGTCAGTGCATGAGGGGTAGGGGAGAGGCAGTTGTGGCACCAGGCAGGGAGGGGTTGTGGGGGATTGTGCCCACTGTAATCTCCATCATCTCTACCCTTCCTACTCAAATACAGACTACTGATGGCTTTACAGTCAGTTATATAAAGAGCTGTGTTATAAAGAGCTGTGTAAACACAGCCTCTGCCATCTCTCCTTCTGAGGAGGTGGGAAACGATAAGGGTTTGGGCAAAGGTGGTGTTAACAAGGATGGGAAGAACTCACAGGGTAGGATACTGTAGGGAAGGTGCTGCCAAGGGCTCTCCAGGATTTCTGCCTTAGACGTCTGGGTGGATGGTCATGCTGCTTACTGAGATAGAGGGAGCCAGGAGGAGAGCTGGTATGGGGAGAGGCAATTTGAGGTCTCTGTGAGATCATCAGTTGCATGGTCCCACTGGGGAGTGGGCTCCACAGACCTGGCAGCCATGAGAGCATCGTAGCTGGAGATGCAGCTTTGGGAGGACCAGTGTGGGAGGTAGATGGGATGCTGAGTGAAAAGAGAACCAGGGAGAGAGCCCTGGAGACTAATACCTACATTGAAGGGACAGGCAGAGATGGGAGGCAAGCCAGGAGTGTCCAGGAAACTGAGAAGACAATCTTAGTGGCAAGGTGTAGTGGACAAGTCAGAAGAGCAGTGCTGGGCAGGACTGGATTTAGTCCTTTATGGCTTGTTAGTAAATGAGTGGGTGGAGAGTTAGGGGCAGAAGTCAGTGTGTATCAGGGTACAGAGAGGAGAAGGGCTGAGAAGATAGTTGCTAAGGGAGATGGGTAGACAAGGAAGGAAGGACAGGCTTGTTTTAGAATGAGGAAGTCTTGAGCCTTTTTAAAGCTGGAGGTGAAGAAGTTGGTGGTATGACTGTGAAGATTCAAGGGAGAAAGAGAAGACTGTGGAGTGGCTCCAGGTGAGGGTTGGAAGCAGCTGCTGCATAGGGTGGCCAACCAGAGGCAGTAGGTGAGGGACTACCTGGAGATGCAGTCAGGGTATCCAGGGATCTGCATCCATTGCGACTGCCCCTAAATCAGGCTCTCCTCACCTGTCTTTGCATTTTGGAGATTTTAGTCCCTGTCTTAGTTATCTAGTGCTGCTATAACAGAAATACCACAAGTAGATGGCTTTAACAAACAGAAATTTGGGGGGGGGGACACAGTTCAACCCATAACATTCCACTCTTTGGCCCCCCAAAATTCATGTCCTTGCCACATGCAAATCACGTTCACCCCATCACATCATCCCAAAAGTCTTAAATCAACTCTCAGTCCAAAATCTCATCTTCCGAATCATCTAAATCAAATATGGGTGAGACCTCAGACACATTCCATCTGGGGGCAAAATTCCTCTTCATCTGTGAACCTGTGAAATCTAGAATACAAGCTGTCTGTTTCCAGAGTACAATGGTGGAACAGGCACAAGGTAGACGTTTCATTACACATGGGAGAAATTGGAGAGGAAGAAGGGATAACAGGCATTATGCAAGTCCAGAGCCCAGCAGAACACATTACATTAGCTCTCAAATAATCCTCTCTTCTCTGAGACCATCTGGGCAGTGGCCCTGCCCTCCAGACTCTGGGTGTTGGCCACGCCCTCTGGATTCTGGGTAGAGACCCCTGGTTGTGGGCTTCAGCTCCGCCTTCCAGGCCCATTGGGACGACAATTCATCTCCCTCGGCTTTGGGCGGCCCCATTCTCCTAGGCCATCTGAGTGGCGACCCCATCCCCTCGGCCCCAGCAGGCCTTGTTCTTCTGCCCCTTGGGCATGACAACCCGGCCCTCTCACTTTGGGCAGTGGACCCATCCCCCTGGCACACCTTAATGGCAGCCTCACACTCGGGAACCCAGTTGGCCAAAATCCTACTATTTGAAACCTAGGAGGCTATGGCTGTACCCTTTGAGATCCAGGAGACTGTGGCCCCACCCTTTGAAACCAAGAAGGCTCTGCTTCTTGTGCTCCTTCTAACAGTTCTGCTGATCTCTGAGATGCTCCAGGGACGGTCCTTTTCTTTTCTTGGAGGACAACAGATGTAGCTCCTTTGGCCTGTTTTGTGCCTGTAGAGTTCCAAGAGGCAGACAGTG